TAATTTTTAAAATTCTTAATTCTTTAAAAACATTGATAGCTGAATGTTTGTTGTGATGGTTTTGGCTTTTGAACAAAGCTGGCCCTCAGCCTGATTTCCTTTGTGTTGAAAAGAACCATGTGTGCTTCTGGCTGTTTCTTAATCCAAGGGGCAATAACTAATCCCTGCCTACAGGACATGGTTTCTTAAACTATTTGGCTGTCTCTTTGACCTGTATGATTGTGGGAATACTTTTGACAGTCCTTCAATTTACAGGGTGTTTATTTAGTACATAAGATACATAGGTTAGCTTATATGGCTTGTGAATTATATCTTTCAAATTGAAAGAATGTATTTTGTGCCAGAGGTGTGTAGATTACAAGTTGAAAAGCAATGTGAGATCTGTTCCTCAAGAGTCTTAAAAGGGTATTGAATAAAGAAAAGAATCACTAGTGTCATTAGTAGCCTTGAGTTTGAGGGAAGGTCACACTCCCACTAGAAAATTGACTTTGATATGTTTCAAGTCAAAGTGTTGATTTGTATACTTGTTTCTATTGTGTTACTCTTGCCATTTTACACTGATCAAAGTATTTTTGACCTGTTTTTCACTCATGTAGGAGCCTCAGAAGACTACAACATTAAAAAAAAAACAAAAAAAACCACAAAACCCAAACCTGCTTCTGGAGACTCCATAGTTAGGATATAAAATTCTGATAGACAGGGTCTTGCTTCTTCATTCGTTGGCTTTAATTTGTGTAACATACAGTGGTGTTAACATCAGTGTAATCCCTGAAGATATAGAACATCAGAAAATGCACTTATAGGTACAGAATCTGGATATTGAGTTAAAATTTAAAAAAAAAATCTATGACTAATTTTCAACTATATTGAGTGCTTAAATCTTGGGTTTTTTTGGAAAATAGACCGCATATGCTTTATAAATGTGTCAGGTGATATGTGTGACTAGACTCTGATCTTCCAAACATGGATGTATGCATTTAACCTAAGGCAATAGAATTGCTCAGATTACCTCAGTGGCATCTCTTAAGATTTTTACACTTGTAGTGTTCAGGTGGAAGGGAAGCAGATGCTGTGGGGCTTTAATGTATTATTTCACCAGGCTCTTTGGTGTGTGTGTGTTGCAGACTTGTAGCAGCATGATTAAAACTATATCTATCCTTATATCCAGTTATTGATTCCTGTGTAACAAGTTGTAGGTCTGACTTGTGCAAGATTTCTGATAACCATATTCAGCTTTGAGCGTACAATGCTCTAAACAGAAAACAAGCTGTGGTTAAAAAATGGTAGATGAAGAGACAGTGAAAGTTGAGAAAGACCATTAGTTGACCAAACACTGGAGAGACCTGGAGACAATATAGGAGCTGTCAGAAGCACTGCATGTAGTTTGCCAAGAGGCCACCTGCTGCTGAAACACCTTTCATGGCTTTCCCAGCCTTGGCTCTAAGTGGTAATTCGATGGATGAGGAAGAAAAAGAGGAAACATGCTGGAGAAAATAGGCACATGTGATGGTTACACATGTTAAAATATGCATCTGTAGCGAGAGCTTTAAGGTTCTAAGTGGAAGTAAAATACACTTCAGTTGAGAGGAAAAAGGAAAAGCATAGCACCTGTAAAAGCAGGTGCAAATGTATAAAACACAGAGCACTAATTTCACATTGATTTAAAGCAGCCTATGTCCTTTACTAGGTTTGCTTCCAATAAATTCAATTCCTTTAGTTTGTTGTAGGATTTTTAGAAACCAAGTGCTGGCGTTGATAGTTTTATATTTTAAGAAGCTACATTAGCTTACAGGGTGGGGATGTCTCATGATTGCTTCAGCTTGTGTATGCAACGGATGGAAGAGAGCTGTGTGGCTGGCAAGGGAGGGGAGGTGGACATTACATCTGTTCCAGCTGTGAGGGAAGGAGAAGCCTCCTCTTGGAGGCAGCCTGTGGGGCAGCTCTAAAATTGCAGTCTTAGCTGAATGCAAATCTTAAATAGCAAAAAATAAGGGAAGAAGAAATGAAAGAAAATAAAAATATACTAACTAAAAAGGACCCCATGATCAGAAGAGAGTGAGAAAGCTGAGCTGCTTTAGCTCTTCTGTCTGCAGTGAACATCACCTTTGTGTGAAGCTGAGAGAATATACAGTGAGCAGGGTATGCTCGTTTTTTAAAATCATAAAGCTAGGTAAAAAACCTAGTCTAATTTTTTTTCTCATCTTTTCCTAGTTTACCCCGTAGCATCTTTAAATGTATCATGACACTTGTCATACTAGGTTGAGCCACGGTCTCTCTAAGCCATTATTCTGTTTGGATAAGAGCTAGTAGGTAATGTTTAGGGAGAACTGTAAGAAAAGCAGTGTATTTAGAGGAATCTTTCTCCTTGTCTTCAGTCTTAGCAGTTTTGAGAAGTGCCATTTTTTTTCCATGATACAATAATGAATTGAAAAGATTATTCACCATCTGTATGAGATGTCAGATGTTTTCAAATTGATTTACTTCATGATTGGATAGGTATGCATACTTTCTTAACTAAGCTGAATAGTCACTTGCTGAGCATTGTATGAAAATTGTTGAACAACACAGTATATAAATTGCCTGTAAAACTGAGAAACAAATTCATTGTGCTCTTTAAAGCAAGTGTTGGACTAAACACGGGCTCTTCCTGCCATCAACACCACCAGAAGTGTTATCATTGAGAGCATAGAAATGAGTTAACTAACCTTTAAAGCTATAAATGAAGCTAGAATTGCTATGTGAACTTGTCACATCTCTCAAAAAGTAATTAAATCATTTTAAAGTTTGTTAATTTTTAATCTGGAAGACAGTTACTCTAGACCTAACCTCGAGTTATTTTGATAATACTAGCAAGAATGTCTTTGTGGGCAAATCTGTTTTCATGCGTGTGATTATTCAAGAGACCCTTCTAGAAATCATTGTAATATTTAATTAAAATGTTAAAATATTTAATTACTGTAAACCACAGGGGATACCAGTGTTGTAATTGCAGTTAAGATGAAGAAGAAAAGTAATTTGTTTTTCAAGTCTTACTGACTTTATTAGCAGTGGCATCAACACTTTACCCTTTTTATTGTTTAAAAACTGATTAACTGCAGCATTACTGTAAAACAGGATAATATAAAAAGTTAATATACATTTTAATATATCACACTAACACAGTGTGACAGTGTTGAAGGAATGCCTTGAAACATGGCTGTAAGGTTGTTTTGTATATTGCTGCCTCAATAATTGGAGGGGATATTTTTTTCTTGTTCAGCATGGTTGGCTTTTATTTGTTTTGAGTTTTGTGATGGATGAAATATTTGGTTTTGGAATAAATACTTAAACTATAGAAGAAGTGGGAGAAGGTGAAATCTGGTATATGCTACAGTAAACTGGTGTAAGATACAAAGACAAAAAGATCCAGTATTTTTAATGGGAGTGTTATTATTAATTTAAAGAGATATTAAACTTAATAATGAAAAATATGTGACTGACAGCCAAAAACCTATTCGGGAATGCCATAAATTGGTTTATGCTATGAAGTTGATCCTATGAGAAAATAATTTTTTAAAAGTTAATGGGAAAAACTGCAGTCCGGTTTTAAGTGCTGGGTATTTCATGGCTTTTAATTTATGTAAAAGTGTTTGCTTCACTCGTCTTAATTAAGGTTTCAAAATGAGCCCTAAACCAGTTCACAGCTGTTTTCCAATCTGTAATTTACGTAGTAGGGCAGAGGAGTAAGTTTGTTTTTAAACTCATGCATGCTTACTTGCCTAGATCACCGCTCTTGGCGAAGGGCTCTGGTCCTAGAGGCATGGTACAAAGTAGAATCCACCCGCGTGTTGGTTCCCTCTGGTTCCTGGTTTGGTGTGTGTGAAAGAATAGGAGGAGGTAGCTGCCACAGGGTAATTTGGTAACAATCTTGGGGTGGTGGTATTGGGTAAGAAGGAAAAAGGGGAGCCAGACAACCTGTATTCCAAAAAGACTGGGACTAACTGTTCTAGATAGTTGGTATCGATGGAAGGAGAGCATCTTCTGCAGGACTGCTATAGCTGGTGCTTATATCCGTGTCTGCCATGGAGATGGCCAAAAATGGAAGGCAGGCTATTGGTGATGGGGGATGTCCAAAAATTTTGGGAGGCTAATCTAGCTGGGCTTCCTCTGTTCCTTCCTAGCCAGGAAGGAGAGATGCTCTTTTAGAGGGTGTTTCAGAGCATGAGCCTAAAGCAGCTTCTTAAGAAAAATCCATCTTGCTCTCTTGGTTATAGAGGAAGTCTAGGCAGATCAGCCTCCCAGGGTTGAGTTCAGTCTTCCTGAACGTCACCCTCGGGCCTCTCTGGTGAGACAATTGCAGTGAAACACTACCTTCTGCTTGCTTATGGTAAGCAGAGCTTGTTGTGGAAATTATGGCTGAATAATTAAAGATATTAGTGTATACCCAAATCTACAGATATTTCTGACTTTGGAAATAATACATCACTAAGCATGCACATTGTGTTTGAGTTTCTAGATAGCTTGTCTGTAAGCCTTTTTGACATTTGGAAGTTGCAAAGAATCAGTTTCTATAAATGCAGGGATTGGTGCTATTAAAAAAAAAAAAAAAATAAAACAATAACACCAAACCAAACAACAAACAAAACCAAAACCACAATAAAAGCCCTCAAAACCTTCCCTTTTTATCTTAAACCTCCTTTTTGCACTGTGGTAAAGTCAATATGTAAATTAGTTTTTACTTTTTTTGGTTAGATGTACAGTGTGTTAATTCATAAATTTTAGCTTAAGTAGAAGAGGAAATTTGAATGGCAAAAGTTCATATTTATGCCTCAGATGACTTCTAAGAAGGGAGAAATTCAGAAAACTACTGATGTTACCAATGTAGTTTTATGTAAATGCTCTTGTTTCAAGGCTTGCATCCATGTAAGGCTTCCTTCGATATTTTGGTGCTTTGTAATGATGTTTTTTTGCTGCTACAGTGAATTTACCTAGATAAACTTTTTTTTTTTTCCTTAAACCAGAAAGAACTCTGCAATATGATACTTGACTGCTGTGCTCAGCAAAGAACATATGAGAAATTCTTTGGGTTACTAGCAGGGGTGAGTTCTGTTTTCAGTTTTTACACTTTAATTTGTTTACTATTTTTTTGTGTGTCAAACTTACATTTTATTGGATAAATAAAACTAATAGGCTTTTTTATCATTCTGAAAATGGTTATATTAATTTATTGGTTGTATTAGTGGATTAACATTGTGAATTGTAAGAAGCATACTGAAGGCAGGATGAGAAAACTAATTTTCTCTTTAAATTATTGGGTTTTTTGCCTCTGTCTTTTCTTATTACGGTAGAAAAACAAATAGTGCCAAAGGAATGGTACTAGAAAGAGGTAAAAGTATTATGAGTTATCAGAAAATATCCTTTTTATAATGCTGAAGATTAATTTTGGAGACTCTCATCTTTTAGGACTTTGTTCAAAGCTGCTTAGTAGGTTTTATTTAGAGCACAAGACTGAATACTTACTGTCCCATGGTTGTGGGTGTGTTTGTTTTTCAGTAAGCAGCTAGCTCTGCTTTTATGTAACTAATTGCTAATTTAGTTGCAGTTATTTCTTAGTTACATTTTCCCTATCTGTGACATTGACAGATCTGACAAATCAAGATAAAATACTTGTCTTCTCAAGGGAGCAACTTATGCTGAAAGGAAGTGTTTTATTCCATTTGTATTTTTTATCCAATATTGAAGGAAATGCTTCTGCTGACAGTCAGTTACAGGGCACTAACCATATGACTCCACACATTCAGTAGAATATAAATGTAATTTCCACATTATTTGGAATGTTTGTGTCCAAAATGTCTTACCTTTAACTGTGTGCCCTGCTGCCTCTCTAATTTTAAATAGTCATCCAGTGATGTCATGAAAAAAAATTAGATTTGATGGGGTTACATTAGGTGGAAATACTGGATGTACAGAAGTAAAAGAAAATGCTGGATAATTTGCTGCAGTTCAAATTAATTACTACTTTGCAATGCAGATGAGTTTCTTGTTCTGACAAATAACTAAAAGCAATAAAATGTATCCATTCTAAGGCTTATTTAAAAGGAAAATCCTGCAGTAAATATTTGTACCATTAGGTCACTTACATGTAGGTTATTTGCATGTTTAATATGTTGTTTAATCTGGCTGTCTAAATTGTACAATGTTATCTCAGCGTTTCTGCATGTTAAAAAAAGAATATATGGAATCCTTTGAAGCTATTTTCAAAGAACAATATGATACCATTCATCGTTTGGAAACAAACAAACTGAGGAATGTTGCCAAGATGTTTGCTCATCTGCTGTACACCGATTCAATTCCTTGGAGTGTAAGTAAAAAAGGGTATTGTCCTAGATTTCTTCTTCAATAATTAATCTCCAGGATTCTGAAATAATATATAATAAACTAGTTCTAGTATTTATTCTACAATTTGGAACTACTTGTATTATTTTAAGTATCTTCTCAGACACTGTTGAACAGTTCTGGGTTGTCCCATCTCCTCTTTCTGCCCCCTGTGCATCCTCATCCTCCCTTCCCTGTTCTTAAGTAGTTGATTTAAGCTGTTACTTTATGGAGCTCAGCTGGAATTGGTTGACTATGTACTTTTTCTAGAATTTTGAACTCTTAATCAGCAATGTAAATAGCAGAACTGTCTCTAAAAAACAACCTAAAGAAACCTTTAAAAATTATCTTTATATATTACATTAAAAGTTTTATATAATTATAAGAATTTTTTTAAAACTGCTATTTTGTCATGTAAGTGCCAAAGAAAAAAAAGTATTCTTGCATTCTGAGGTATCATAATATAATGTTAAAAATTAAGAACTATCAAAGTGACATCTCTTTTCATGCTATTTCGTTCTTGTTTCATGGCCTCATCTAATTGTCATTCTTCAAGCACACAGAAGGCAGGCCAAATATTTCACCTCTTTAGATGTTAAGTCCTAAATCTTTAACTTCCCAGAAGTTCACACTCCTACTTTTTTCATGTGGAGCTTTCCTGGATAAAATAAATCCTTAAAGAATTACTAGCATAAGTATCATTGCTCCCAGGTGGGAGAAAATAATTTTTCAGGAAGAAAACCTTGACTAGGAATGAGGGGGTTTATATTCTTGGAGGAGAAAACAAACAAACAAACAAAAAACAAACAACAACCCAACACAAAAACAAACCACAAACCACCGAAACTAGTCTTTATTAGTTATTACAGGAGGACAAAAGTTTTTAAGATAAAGGAATGTATATTTAAACTTAAGGGTTTTTTCTAAATATTTTCAGGTCCTTGAATGTATAATACTGAGCGAAGAAACTACCACATCCTCCAGTAGGATTTTTGTCAAAATATTCTTTCAGGAACTCAGTGAATATATGGGACTTCCTAATCTAAATGCAAGATTAAAAGATGAGTAAGTTGAAATTTTATTTTCAAAATTATAAATGTAATTAGTTTCTTTATCTGAAAAAGTACAGATAAGAAGTCCGTTCTCAAATTAAACTAAGGCTGCAGTTATGTAGCTGCAGTACTTCAGAAATAAGTTCATGTGTGTATTTAGTCACTGCAAAGAGTCCCATTAAGCTGAGTGTTACCATCAACTTGGGTTCAAGTCTGTGTGTGACTATTTGCAAGATGTATCTTACGTGGTTTTTTTCCCCAATGCTAGTTCAGCTTGTCTAAGAATTAACTATTTATTACTCTATTTTCATGTGTTGTCAGCTATATAGCTGTGTATCGAATCTTACTGTGGCTTCCTTTTCTCACAAAACTGAGAAAAAAGCACGTAACTATTAACAATAGTTTTTCTAGGATTAGTTGCTTATCCTTAAGTATAAAATACACATTCTTTTAAGCCTGTGTGTGATTTAATGCGTTGCATTCTGGCGATGTTCTTTTCAGTTACTTGAGCTATTTCCTGTAAGTTGGGATTTCTAGGTATGATGAAGAATTTAGTAGATGCTTTAGCTCATGTGAACTTAAACTTGAATCTATACTTAGGGCTCTGTTTGAGATTTCAGTATAGGAACCTAGATCTTTGGAATTCTCAGTCAACAAGTATTATCTTTTGCTATCACAGGCTACTGTGATTTCACAAGTCTCTTCAGGGCTTCACAAAATCAGGCTTTTGTTGTCATAATCTGACAGTATGTATGTAATTCTTCTGTGTATGAAGTTTGCTTTCATAAAAGAGCAAGTTTTTAAATAGCCTTTTGATAACATACATCACAGATATAAACAATGAAAATATTGAAAAATGCACTAAGAGAAATCTTTTGCTGTCCTCTGGAGATCTGTACAGTTTCTTTTTCAGTTTATTAATGTCAATGAGAATTAGTGCTGAGCTGGCATGATGTTTAATTTAGATGTTTGTTTTCATCAGAACGTTGCAGCCTTTCTTTGAGGGATTATTGCCTCGGGATAACCCAAGAAACACTCGCTTTGCCATCAATTTCTTCACTTCTATTGGCCTTGGAGGACTAACGTGAGGAACACTTTTCTGATTTTATATTTACTTTCCTTCTCTCCCCTCCCCTCTGCTAAAAAAAAAAAAAAGAAAAAAGAAAAAGATAAAAAGCTTTGTTCTTTTTTTATTAGGGATGAATTACGGGAGCATCTTAAAAATGCACCAAAGATGATAATGACACAGAAACAAGATGTTGAGTCATCAGATTCCTCTTCATCTTCAGAGACAGACTCTTCCTCAGATTCTGATTCTGACAGCAGCAGTAGTAGCTCAGACTCATCCAGCAGCAGTGACTCCTCGTCTAGCAGTGGCAACAGCAGTGACTCAGGTACTTAAACACTAGCTGTAACTATTTACTTCTCTTTGTATATTTGTTTTGAGGAAAAACTAGCTATAGACAGTGTTAGTTTCTCTGCTTTAAAAACTAATCAATTTTTTTAAACTTAAAAGTTTTAAAGTATTAAATATTGCTCAAGAAAACTTATTTTAGAATTTAGAAAAACTGAGCTCCATTTTTAGAGACTTAAATATCTGAGGAACGTTGTTTTGTAGATTACTTTTTTAGACAGTTGATACCTGTTGTATCAAGGATGGAGGGATTAGAGTCATTCCCTATTGATACCTCTGTGGGATGTTTCCTGGGGAACTGTAGAGACTACTGTCTACAACTCTTTTTGCTTGGTTTAACTGAGTGAGCTTGTTACTACTTGTGTCCTTCTTGTAAATATGTGCCTCTATGGGTCACAAATGACATTGTTCAGTTCCAGCAATATGTTTAAATTTATTCTCCCTCCGAATCTCTGTTTCTAATTCCTTTTCTTCAGGAAGAGTTTATGTGGTGATATAGTGAAGGCTCTTGTCTGTAGAGAAATCTCCAAGGAAGAATGAAGTATTTACTGACAACTTAGTATTTTGTAGTTTTATTAATTATAATTAGTGTTTAGCATCTTATACCATCCTGCTGATTAGAACATTCTATTTGATGTGAAGTGTCATAAACATTGCTTCATCTATAAAGTACATCCTAGTATGATTCGTGTGCATGGTCTCCCTCATATGTAATGTGAGCAGATGATAACACAGCATGACTTTCTATAGTGCAGAAGCTTGATGATTCAAAGTTAATTGGATTTATTGCATGCCTTTGAAATAAAAATACTGGTGAATAAAATAAAAGCAGTGTGAACTGCTCATGCTTTTGAAATGCATTTTTGTTCTCCACTGCAATCTTACTGTACAAAGTCTGACTTGTGTTTCATCGCATTAATGATGAGAAAGCACTAGAGGAGGGCACAGTTAAACAGGGTCAGAGAAGGTGTGAGTTCAGCAAAGAGACAGATGGCTCCTGCATAGACAGCTGCAGCTCTGCTGAGCTGCTTGGTAAGGACCAGAGAGGTAAGTCCTTAGTGGCAAACCAACTGAGTCTGCTAGTATGAACACTGTTATTTTTGTAAGTTTAGGACCTTCCCTTTTACTGTGTGTCCTTTCTCCTTTCAGGAGCACATTCATTAAAACTTGCATTTTGATATCTTTGCAGCCTGGTTTTACTTCTCTCTCTGCTCCGACCCCCCTGCTGTTGTGATCTTAAATACAGTGTTCAGAACACTAACTGGAGATAACTATATTATTTGATGGCAAACTTGGTTGAGGTCCCTTACTGGTCCCTCCCAAGGCTTTCTGTGTTTGCAGCTTTTTAAAACTCAGTAGAGTTGAAAGATGTTTTCCAGAGGAATGTGCTACAGCATTTCAGTGTTTTAACAGTACAATGTGTAAGAGAAAATAGAAAAATTGCTGGTTAGAAATAGCTAAACTAGAGATTACTGTCTTACTGACAGCTAGTGTATGGAACTTCACCAACTGTTTTATATCAGCACTGCTCCGAACAGGTCCAGCAGAAGACAAAATCTGCTAGCAAAGCAGCTTCTTCCTTTGTATTTACTTTGTCAGCTTGTTGGGGGTTTTTTTTTTTTTTGCATTCTGATGAATGTAAAATAATAGGGAAAACAATTTTTAAAAAACTTGATGTATTAAAATATATCTGAATTGATCCACCATTGCATTTTGTCAGAATGCCATGACGCCTTAGTTCAGACATGAGACTAGCCAGCTGCTGTAGAACTCAGGTATTTGGTATACTATTAAATCGGTTTATGGCAGTGGTATTTTCAAAAGGTGATTAGAAACAGCTGGTACACTACTATAGTTGATTCAATACGGTGATTTTTCTGAAAAAAAAAATAATAAAAAAAAAAAATAAAATTGTGAGGGTGCTTTGATGCATGACTTTACAGCCTGTGCCTGGTCCTTTTCTATCAAGTCAGCAAGAGGATGGTGATGGGTAGAGGCTCTCAAAAGGCAGGTGTCGCTTGCAGATAGCAAAGGGATAAAAGCCCTGCTGATAGATACTCGTGGGTGGCAGACACATCTGTACAAATCTGAGTTGTTCCCACTTAAGCAATTAACAGGGAGGGGAAGAGGGGAAGCAAGGTTGTTGGAGCAGAATTTCAAATCTTTTCAAATATGAAAGTATATCTTACATAAGAAAAAAAAATTCTTGTATCGACAGGTCTGCAGATCTCATGTCAGATTCCCATTTAGTGAGTTACTCTATTTTAACACTGATGTGACTGCTTAGTAATGTTTTGTCTTCACGTGCAGGTTTGAGGTTTTTTTTGTAAATTGAGGAATCAGGTTCTCTGGTTTGAGCTGCATCATGTTCTTGATACCTGTGTAAGCATTGTAAATGGGATGAAATGCAGAAGGCTGTTCCCTAATTTCTTATTTGTATATTCTTAAAGTTTTGGGGTGATGCGTTTTGACCTTGCTTCTTGTTAATGTGAGGTTCCTGTGTTAACAGTGGAATTACTGAGAAATAATGAAACTTAGAGTCAAAATGGACAGTAGTCTTGGGCTTGGTAGTCAGTTCACACTTTCACAAAGAAGTTCACTTTATGTAAAATAAAAAGTCTGTAATGCAAACAGACAGTTAAAAATAATCGGTACCTGTTCAATTAAAGAATGGCTGAATTTTCCTCCATTACATGAGACACTCTGGGGACAGGGGGAGCAATAAAATCAAAGCTCATTATTTTGAAACTTTTGTCCGATACGTACACTCAAAAGTTTTGTGACAAAAAAATAACTCTCTAGAACTTTTTATGTAGTTTAACAAGTCAAGCATAACAAATTAAGATGCAATCTTTTTCCCATAATTTGTTGTCATTTCAGATGTTCATAAGGCCAAAAGAAAGAGAATGCAAAAGAAAAATAGAGAACCTGATAAAGTTTCCAGGAAAAAACAAGAAAGTAAAAGGAAATCTCTTGAAAAGAAAATGGGAAGGAGACAGCAAGAGGAAAGAAGTGATACCGAGAGCAAATCAGAAAGAAATCACCAACATTTGAGGGAGTCGCACAGGAGAGATGATGTATCAAAATATCATCACAGAGATGAGTCCAATGGCAGAGACGGTTACCGTAGTGGAAAGGATAGAAACCATGAAAGAAGTAAGGATCTAGAAAATAAACACAGTAATTCAAAACCAAAGAAAGCAGAGAGGAGAGCTTCTTTGTCTGATGATGAAAGTTATAGACACTGGAGCAAGGATCATGAACATCGGAGTAAAAAAAGAGAAAGGTCAAAATCCAGAGAAAGAGCCCGTAATAATTCAAGTCCGAGAGAGGAGGAACAAGAAGACCGATACAGAAATGGTTCAGAGAAACACAGAGAGAAGTACAACCGTTATCCTGACCAGTACAGAGAATCCAGAAGGAACGAGGACAGACGAAGGGAGAATTCCCCGCACAGACGAAAATAGTACTTAACCAGAGCTTGAAATAAATGTGCATTTCTGAGCTGTTAAAACTGTATTTTAAAATCTATTACTGAACTTTCTTAAAAAAAAAAAAAAAAATTGTACAAAGTGATAGTTTGCATTTGTAAATTTTATCAGACTTTTAAAAATTTTCAGTACCACTTTTTTATAACTATTGCTTTGAGTCTTTATGTTAAACTCTTTCTTTGGAAAGACGAAGCTGTTTATTTTGTGAATAAAACTGTTAAGATCTGAGCAAAATGGGTGTTTCAGTCACTTAGTTTCAAGTATTTGTAATTGTAATTTTATAGTCCAAAAACCAGTAGGTTTTAAATTTACTTGTTGATTGAAAATCACTGAGGGCTAGGGTGATAAACATAGAAATTTCGGATTACAGTATGGATGTTACATAGAAGGCTTTATAAAAATTTTCAAACATCAGCGTGAGTGTTTCAGACATTCTGTAGCTGTATAGTCTTTCAACTTTGCAAACATGAAAGCAAGTTTGACCAAAATTTTCAGGAAATACTTCAGTTGGTTTTGTTTTGGTTTTTTTTTCTTCGTTAGATATTGGAAAAGCAATATTGCTGTTTTAAATGTCACATTTGAAAGTGTGTCAGCTTGTTCTGTTACTTTTCACAATGTTTTTTAATATTGTAACATCCTGAGCTAGTTACACTTGTGATCTTAGAGACAGGGGAAAACAGTTGAGTGGGGTTTTTGTTGGTTTTTTTCCAAGTATGAATTTGATTTTTAAAGTCATAGACTTCAGTTCTAACCCTACAAAGGAAGTGTTTAAATAACATCTTTCCCAGCATATAAAAAAATAAGAAATCTAAGTAAGAGGTGTTTCAAATATTTTTAGACTACATGGCTTGAAGTGCTCAAGTTTATTGGAAGCAAAGTTTACAAAAAGAAATTCAGTGACTGCAGCAGTTTGTATTATAAATTGTATGAGAACTTTCATTGTATGAGTAATAAATCAAAATAATCTCATTAAGACTCTCTAATCTCTAGTAACTAAGGAAAACTATGAAAATCTATGTGTGGAAAGGAACTAGTGTAGGCATGGTCAGTAGGAAGGAAAGGTGATAGCTGTATATTATGCAGTTGCTGATGCTGTAAGACTACATTTTTTTCTTTTTTTTTTTACTTTGAAATGAAGACAATTGCTGGGCATATGAGAATTTACACATTTCATGTGTAAATCATATTTCATCTTATATAAAGCATAGAAAATATATTTGAGCTGTTTTGTAACAGAAAATAGAACAATTCCTAAGGAAATAGACCAGTTTTGCCTAAGTCTTGTCACAAAATTTTTCTAAGAAAAATGTCACATTTAAAAAATAAATAAATAAAAATCTGTATTTAACAGAACTTATTTCTGCAAGCTTTCATGTAATAAAACATTTTCAGCCAAAAACATTTGCATGGAAAATAAATTCATATTGCAGAGAAAAAAAGTAAGGTTTCTATCTTGTTATACAACACAGCTAAAAATGCTTTAGTGGCATCATGAGGTATGTGTTGTTTAAACTGTGGTGGCTTTTTGTCCAACACACTTCTCATCTTCAAAATGATTTGTGCATTTTGGCAGTGTGTGTTAATTCCAGGAAAACTTAATTTGAAAAAATGCTTTCTAAAAAGAGTTCTTCTCATAATTGTTAATGCTTCTTTCATAGCTCTCTATGAACATTATTGAAAATGATCTGTGCTTCATAATGGTTTAATCGTACAAACTTACTTAATTTATCTAGAGTAACAGTTCTCTTACTATGTTATAGGTTTAATAACATAAATCTTATTAACCTTTAACTTTTGAGATATTCTGTTCAAGGTAAAAAGCTTGTTAATTACATCTTTGATAAATGGAAATACATTGGAATAATAAATAAGAAAACATAAAACATTTATTAAAAATAAAACGTTTGATCTCAGACATGCTGATCAGGAAATGCCAGCTTAAACATCTCCAATTCTTTGTGGTATTTTTGTACTAGCTGATAAAAATTGTGCCCTTTGAGCGTGAGATTAGGAGTTAAGCTGGGCATTTAGCTGCATTTATGTTTTCTTGGTTTTTAATAGAATAACCAATTGAAAATATTTGTTAGTTTTGCCCTTACAGCTGCGAGCAGGTTCGTGTTAGCCAGAGGCAGTAAGACAACGAGCAGTAGTTCTGACGTGCGCATGTTCACAGATGTGTGTTCAGAAGAATGGCTGCACTGTGGCAGACCAAAACTCTCCAGTGCAGAGAGACAGTGATCAGCAATGCCAAGTGCATTCCCAGTTTTTAGCAGACTGTTGCTTAAGGACTTCCTGAGCCAGAGACACTATGTACATATCTGAATAAGGCCTCGCCCATTAAGTGGCCTAATTAGTTAAGTCATTTTGGGGAGATTTTGTAGCATCCTGTGCCAGGAGTTCCAGTATTTTACTGTACTTTATGTGTAAAAGTATTTTTCTTTTATAGCTTCTGCCTCGTCACTTTCATTTGCTCCTTTTTGATGTGTTTTCTGAATAATGGTGTGTAGTTCTTTCCTGCTTGACATCTTGTGTGTGATTTTATAAACCTAAACCTGTATATTCTTTGCCATTACTTTTCCAGAAATTAAAATCTCTCCTTGTGTGGGACTGCTCTGTAGCACTGATCAGTCCTCCTGCCAAAATACTCTGTAGTATTCAAAATGAGGGTATTCCAGCAGTTGCACAGTGACATAAGAGCTTTGGGGGTTGATTTGTTTTCAGTCCAGTCTCTCAGTTGCTGTAGAGCTGAGTGATCCACAGTGATCCTGGGCTTGCTTTTCTTAGCAGTAACAGCTAATTGTAGACCACGCACGGTAATGAAGTGACTCATGCATCTAGTCTTAATTAGTACTGGAGCTCTAGGTTGTTTTGACTGGAAGACTTCAAGAATTGGAGATTGTATGACATTCTTGACTATTTTGCTCAGTTGTTAATCCTTGTCACTTAACAGCATGATCGAAAGAGCCGAGCCTTAGCTTTCTGCAATTGGCTCTGGTTATGACTTGGTTTAATAGATCTCTGCTATCGGAAGTCACCTCATGTGAGTACTTCTGGGCTGTCTTCAGGTAATGGCTTGGCTGCCTCTCAGATAAAATAAATACTAAGCTGCTTTGATCTTAATGAACTGCAAGTTTCCATTGCAAGTACTCTTGACTTGGAAGAATGAAAATGTTATGTCAGAGAAATGTGCTGTTTATTTGCCCTGTATCTAGAAGCCTATACCATTGGATTTAAAAGTGTGTTATGAGTGGGGGTGATCACAGTGATGTGGTGTTGAGCATCTGGGCCTTGGTCTTCGGCCAAGTTTCTGAGTTTCCCCACAGTGGCGGCATTAGGTGTTACAGATATGAGCTGCTGACTCACCCAGTGAATTCACCATCCACGTAGGAATAAATCTTCACTGAAGTGTCTGGTATTTGTAAGAACTGCAATTCTGTTCTGTAATTATAATTTTACTTGGAGCAAGGGCTGCGAAGCTTGATTATTCATATACTCAAGTCTGAAGAATGGGGTTTTTTGGGCGAAAAAAACCCTACTGCTTTAAGCCATTTTGTTATATAAATCATCAAAATATGGCCTCGTAGTATGAAAGCAGATAAATTTTGGGATAAAAGTATCCACTCTCTTTGTTAAAAATGCTTTAGAACTGTCATTAAAGTAGTTTCAGTTGCTATTTAAGCAATAATGAAGTCTTCAAATTGTAGATAATTTGTCTTCACAGTTCTGCATGGGAATGGGAACTTGACTATAAAAATCTTTTTCTGTTTGTGTTATTCAGGTTAAATGAATTTTATAAATGGATCATGTACATATTTAAAATCAAATTCAATTTGGAAAATGACTAGTAGTACTAATTGTGTTTAGATGGTATATTATTTTAACCTAGGAGTATGGTGTTCTTTAATTTACTTAAGGCTCCAGTAACATAACTTTTCTTAACATTTGAATGCTGGGTATACTCTAAAATAGCTTAGCACATGTCAGCCACCAAAAAAATACATAGGCTAGGGTGGACATTTAAAGTTCCAGTAGCAACTTAAGTGCCTCCTTGTCATTAAATTTGTAGTTTTATGAATATAAAAGGTGACACTAGCTCATTTTCATTCACCATTTGTAAACTACTTTGGATTGTCTTTCACTGCTGAGGAAAGCATAAGGCTAATTTTCTTGGAGAATCTAAAAAAAGGTGAGAGTATTTTAGCAGAGACAATTGACTCTGGTTACTCTAATAACATTCAGATAGCAGGGAAACTTGTCTTTCAATTTATTTTCAATTAGATGTTAGTATTTTTTTAAGAAATGGTGAAGTCAAATGCAAAATAAAGGTGTATCTTAATTAAAACTTTACATAAAGTAGTAGGTTAAAAATGGCATAAGCAAAATATTACTTTTATACACTGTGAAAACTTGAGGTCACTTTAGAGATGTTCTGCTTTTTATATGTTTTCCGCAAGCAAGTCTATAATTTGGTTGAGACTAGTTAGGGACTTTCTTTTCTTGTCTATTCATGACTATCATCAAGCATTTTCTTCTAACTTTATAAAAAGAAGTTAACTCAGAAAACAGACACATCCATTAAGGAAATTAACTGTCACATTTTGACTCTGTTTAAGATATGCTATCCTTTTTCCATTATTTTGTAAAATAAAGTGGGGAGCAAAATTTTTCCTGAGGGAGAA